TTCTCTTTGCCAAATCATCTCAAACCATTTTAGTCAGCCTTAAGAGTGCTAAGTGAATTTGGGTAGCTTATACATACATCAGTACACATGTGTATTTGGAGATGGGTACCTGTGTTGCTCACAGATTGTTGCCTTCAGCAGTTCAGGGAGTTCTAGGAAGACCAGTAGAAGAAGATGTGGGTCAATCTTAAGAGAAGGCCATTTCAAAAGGCCATTGTACACATTAGCCAGTAGCTCTCCCTTTCTGAAATTTCAAAGCTATGTGGTAGAACAAGACTTTCTTCAGTTTTGTGACCTAAATCTCTAAGAAAGGTCCAAGTGTACCTTTTGGTTTTAGAACTTGGTACTCTTGGTCATGGAAAAAGTATTGTCCATCTGCTGTTGTCCTCTGTCAGAGTGGCCAAGTACCCTTTCTGGATTCTCTCTAGACTGAGATCCTGTGTTATTTTCCTAAAGCCCTGTGTCACTAGACATCTGTGGTCATCTTTTCTTGGTCCTTGACCTTGATTATTTGGTTCTGGTATTCTGTGATTATCTTATTTTTTCTGCCAGCTTTTTGTTTTTATTGCTCATACATTCCTTCTCTCTAGGGTCTCCACACCTCCTTCTTGCTTCTCACTGCTACTCCATTCACAGCCTTTCAAAGGCCAAAGAACTTTTTTTTGTCTCAGTGCTTATTCCTCTGACAACTCCCCTTCCCATTTCGTCTTTTCCTTCTGAATGAAAAGAACTTTAGCCAGCCCTGGCCTGCCAAGCCATGTTGGCCTCTGTCAGTACTTTCTCTGATCAGCTCTGGGGCTCTAAGTATCCATCACCTCAAGCCCACTGATGTCTAGTCACAAACATTCAGGTTTTTTACATGCCCAGCCTGCTTTCTTTTGTTTTAAGCCCTAGCCTCTTTCTGTCATTTTTTTATTCTTGCGTCCCTCTATATCACTTCCATTCAGATATCTCACTTCCTTCATCTCTATACCCCAATAATTCTTTGCCACATTTTCTTAGAAGTGTCGTACAAGAGGAGACTTCAGAGAACTGTTAATTTTATCCTTTTATTTAACGGATAAGGAAGCTGTGATCCAGAGACAGAAAGTGACTAGCCTAATATTACGAAGTTCATTTGGATACAGGTCTTGTCATCTAGAGTATAGCCTCTCTATATCCCTCAAACTTTCCTTTCTGCTTCTGTCTTCAAGACTCCCCTTTTGGTAAATACCTCTTTGGGCTCCTTAGAGATGCCAGAAATTAGTATTGTAATGTGTTGGAGTGGAAGGGGGAAGGAGAAAAGGATGTTACAGTACACAGTGTATCCCTCGTCTTCCTAAATCATTTTAACTGTGTTTACAGTTTGTCTTGCCCAGTAATGGTTAAGTCCTCTAGCTGTGCTGTTCTTACTTTGATGCTCTGTTTAAAGGTCATTAAATAAGGGTAGGCATGCATTCATTCAGCAAACATTTATTTATGCCTTCTCTATGCCTGACTGTGGCATGGGCACTAGGAGTAAAGTGGTGACTCCAAAATAGCCCCTAATCTCAAGGAACTCATACCCTGATAGGTGAGGCAAGTCTGTCAAGAAATACAACATAATGAGAAGTACAGTTCTACCACAGGGCAGTGGGAATAAGAGAAAGGGGCTTAACTGTATTGGGGAGATAGAAAAGCTTCATAGAAGAGGACACATTGAAGCAGGACTTTGCAGGATAAATGAGATTTTACAAGTCTGATCACTTCTCTTCTCTGCTCAAAACCCTCCATTGGTGCCCATTTTTCTCAGTAAAAACTAACGTCCTTACTGTGGCCTGTATGGCCCTACACAATCTGGTACCCCATTACTCTCTGACTTTGTTGCGTTTTCTCCTCCTCTCATCCCCCTCCTCCTGCACCACTGGCCTCCCTGCTGTTCTTTGAACATACCAGACACACTTCACTTATCTCAGGGCGTTTATAACTTGCTCTTTCCTCTGTCTGGAGTGATCTTCTCCCAGATGGACACATGACTCATGTCTTCATCTTGTTTAGGTTTTTTCTCAAAAAGCACCTTTGAACTCAAGTGATGCCTTCCTTGACCATCCTATTTAAATGGCACCTACTGCCCAGTGCTCCTTGTCCCCTCTCCCTGCTTTATTTTTCTCCATAGCATGTGTAACGTGCTATGGCAAAGGCAAACTTTGTTTGCCTCCCCTCTCCCCCTGACCCCTGAGAATAAGCTCCAAAAAGACAGGGAGTTTGTGTTTTCATTTCTGTGTGCCTAGTGCCTAGAGCAGTGCCTGGTGCATAACTACTTCTTAAATGAATGAATGGTCATTTGACAGGAGTCTGCTTTCAGTAAATATATTGTGTAATTAGAGTAATTAGATTTTTAAATTCTGTAGATTTTAAATTCTTTATACTTTAAATCTTTAAATTCTTATAACTACATTCTAATTGTTACAGGATCTCAAAAATCTTTGGAAACTACATTGGAAGTTAATTTCTTGCTTAGAAAGTCTGGGTAGACTCTCATTGTTCAGACTATAATGAGAACATGGCAAAAAATGAGGAGTAATGAGAATTGCTATATGAAAATAGAAGTGTTAGGAATGTGACAGAATTTTAAAAAGTTAAGGCTAGTTGTTTAATATCAGTGTCTATTTATTCTCACAATCCTTGTTTAGTCCCATAATTCTTCTCTAATTGTCACTCCTCTCCTACTTTAAGGTAAGAAATACTAAGCCAAAAAAGAGGAAAGAAAAAAGAAATATAAAAACTGATTAATCTCCAATAAAAATCAGTTTTTGTCTTTTGATTGTGACTTGAGCTCTTAAGGATAAGTAGAAAGAGAGCTAAGGTTTTGTAAGGACAGAGGCTGGGAGGTCGTTGGTAAATGAGTGACCATGTTACCAGAGTGATGTAGCCCCCTTAGCCTGGTGCAGCCTTTAGAAGGTGCACCATTCACACATGTGGTTTTTTTCCCACAAGAATATACTAGAGCTGTAGCTGCAGAGCTTGTAGCTTATAACTTTTCTTAGTATCACTTTTTCCTCTCTTTTCTTCCTAAATCTTCAGTATGGTAAATTGATCAAAGAGTTCAGTTCTGACTGTAAACTTCACTATAAAAAGGCATGTCATCTTGGGAGGCATTGGCCAGTAGTCAGAAGTCTCGGGTTCTGTTCCTGGTTCTATCTCATTTTCTCTCTGGTCTCATTTCTTCATCTACATGAACAGAGGTAGGGCTGGATTAGATTATCTTTGAGGCTGTCTCAAGCTTGGACAGTCTGACTTTCCAGTGGCAAGTGAAAACTTGTGAGCAGCCAAATATAGTGTGCCCTACCTTGAATACAAAACGAAGATTTTTCTTCACTTTAGTTTCCTCTAGAAAAATGGTTGCTGTTTTCTAGTTTGCTTACAGCATTGCTAGACTGCAAGTATAATTTGTGTGAAACACTAGAATACCTTAGGGAAATAGCCTCTCTGGAATTCCGGGTGTTCCTTACAATGTGAGCCAGTGTCATGGTTCTTCTGCAGGAGTTATTGGCAGGATAGAGGAGCTATTTGCTCCTCTGCCTTTCTATTTTGCATTATGATGCAATGTAATTGACATTTTGGAACTATTACACTTGATGGCTCCTGTCAACAAAAATATATTAATTTAAGAACCTTCTGAAATGCCATTTAAATGAGATCTACGTTTCCCATATCCACACTTGTGAATAATGCATTTTTAATCACCTTTGCTTGCTATAGCTCGTTTACCTTGTGCAAATCTTTCCTGTCACTTTGTGCCTTTAGTCACTTTGTTCATCAGCTAGGGCACACATAGGTCTGCTTTGAGGGTGAGAAAATCAGGGCAATAGGACAACCGTTAGTAGAAAGAGCCCATGAGTTAGGAGAACTGGATTCTAGCCCTAGCCCTGTCAAGCTGATGTGTCTTGGAGCAAGTTAGCTTAGCCTTTCTGAACCTCAATTGCCTCATCCATAAAATGGGTATAATCCCCGTCTTGCCTTCATTGTGGGCTTAGTGGGAGGCTCAGATGCAGTCATGGATAGGAAAACGCTTTTGAACTGTAGTGAGGTATGTAACAACAACAACAAAAACAGACATAACTTGCCTACAAGCTTCCAGAAGCAGTGCCAGAATTAGCACCTGTGTATTCATACCCAGCCTGGCACCATTGTCAAAAAGCCAGCACCACCATTTGGCAGAGTTTTAGCATCACAAAGGAGTAATTTTTTTCCTTCCCTTTGTTTTCCTCACCTTACCTACTTAATTTAGTTTTAGGTAACAATTCTATTTGGTGGTCTGGTGGTTAGGATCTGGCACTCTCTAGGGGCCGGCCTGGTGACGTAGCGGTTAAGTTCACACGCTCGCTTCGGCGGCCCAGGGGTTCGCAGGTTCGGATCTGGGGTGCAGACATACGCACCGCTTGTCAAGCCATGCTGTGGCAGGTGTCCCACATATAAAGTAGAGGAAGATGGGCACGGATATTAGCCCAGGGCCAATCTTCCTCAGCACAAAGAGGAGGATTGGCAACAGATGTTAGCTCAGGGCTAGTCTTCCTCTCAAAAAAAAAAAAAAAAAGATCTGGCGCTCTCACCACTGTGGCCTGGGTTCATTTCCCTCACTCGTCCGTTGGTTGTCACACTGTGGTGGCTGCTTGTTGCTGTGATGCTGGAAGCTATGCCACCTGTATTTTCAAATACCATCAGAGTTTCCCCTGGTGAACAGGTTTCAGTGGAGCTTCCAGACTAGGAAGTAGGACCTGGCCACCTACTCCTGAAAAATTGGTCATGAAAACCCTGTGAACAGCAGCGGAGCATTGTCTGATACATCGCCGGAAAATGAGAGGATGGCACAAAAAAAGCCCCGGCAGGGTTCCACTCTGCTGTACATAGGATCGCTAGGAGTTGGAATCGACTCGACAGCACTAACAATAAAAACAATTCTTTTAAGATTTTAATGCTTGATTTGTTTTACTTATGGTAATATGTTTGTTTCCCTTCTTTCTGCTTTTCAATCTGATTAGGAAATTTGTACATAGACTCCAGGCAAAATCTCCCTCCTTCAGTGATGCCGCCCCCTGGTTATCCTCATATTCCACAGGCACTCAGCACTCCAGGAACAACGATCGCAGGTAATTTGGGGTGTGGTGTGTTGCAGTTGGTACTCAGAGTCTAATATTGAAAAGCTTTAGATGCCCCAACAGTGAACAAGGCTGCCTCAGGAGGAAGTGAACTCCCTGTTATCGGGGGTGGGGTGCAAAGTCTAGATAGCTACTTGCTTGGCTCCAGTGCTGGTGAAGGGATTCAAGTGTCAGTTGCTGTTTGGACAATATGGGCCAGAGTCTCTTTTAGCCTTCTTTTTTGTCCTGTCTTTCTAAGAGGTCTAGGGGCATAGAGCTTGTCCTTGGGTTCTTAGGTATCTTTGAGGCTGTTTGACTTTGACAGGACTTCAGCAGGCTTCAAGAACCTACTTTGATTAGCTCCTGAATATTCTGCTCCATTCATTCTGATGAAGTTCCCCCAGCTATAGTTTCCAGGGATGTACCTTACAGAGAAGGTAAGTTTCAGGAGTTACTAATTCATAAACTTTTTTCCCCTAGGCTCCTGAATGTAGGATAAGTTACATTTAGCAGGGCAGTAGAGGCACATTATTAGAGGTGGAAGGGATCTTAGGAATTATCTAGATGAGGAAACGGAGGCTCAGAAGGGGAGACAGCTTGCCCAGAGCCACCAGTTTGGTAAGTGGCCAAACCAAGACTCAAACCTTGATGTCTGCATTCAGAGTTCATTGTTTTTGTATACCACACCACCCTTTACTTAGGGTATTTGAGAAAAAGACAAAAGGTAATGTGGAGGAGTGGATTTAAAACCCCCAAAGAACTGTGCCAGGCAGTAATGAAGGAGGAGTTAAGACCAAGTGACGTGTCCTTTGGTGAAGGGGAAAGAATAAATGTTATCTGTCCTCAGCACTCACCAGTAACTTGTAGGTGGCAAGATATGGTAGTTAAGTCTCTGGAGCCAGATTGCCAGGGTTTGAATCCTGGTGCTTTGCCACTTGATAGCTGCCTAACCCTCCTGTCTCAGCTTCCCTGTCTGTAAAAGGGGGCTAATAACACTACCTAACTCGTAGTTGTTAAGAGAATTAAATGAGGATTATATGTAAATCACTTAAATTAGTGCCTGGCACACAGTAGGGAATTTATAAGTTTTTAAAAAATAAATACAGGCATTTCTGCTATGCTGTAATATACTGAAAACTTTAGCATATTGTAAAACTGTACGTTAAAAATTACAGGGCTTATGAGAAAAAGATTAGCAGCAGACTACTACTTGAAACTTTGTAATGAGAGTACTAACAGAAACTATAATAATCCAGTAAAAATTCCACAACAATTAAAAGGATATGTTTAATTCCTAATAAAAGAATGAATTCTACAACTAAATATAGATCATTACTTTAAAAAAAAAAACAGATCTGGTTTGGAACAGGGTTTGTCAAAGCTGTGGAGACAAGGGAAGAATGCACTAAATTTGGGAGCACACTGATTCAAGAAGAGGAGCCTGGAGAGAGACAGCGTCATGCAATCAGCTGTGTTCCTCTGTGGCTTACTGCACTCAGCCGTGTCAATGTTCTCTGTGTTTACCTGCTGTTACTTGGTGGCACAAAAATTAACTTGCTGGAAAAAATTCACTATTACCCAATATGACTTCACTGGTACACTGACATCATTCTCCTATTTACCATCTTATGTGAGCCAGTTCATGTCACTGAAACATGTACTGAAGCAGAGCAGACTGTGAGAGAAATGTGGCGTCAGCACCTGGGCTAACTCAGGCACTCTTTTTATGCCCTCCCTGCTGCAGCCTGGCTTAACGGAAAAAGTGGGTTTTGGAGTCAAGTGAACTGAGTTCAATTCCTGTCTCTTCTCCTCACTAGTTGTATGACTTTGGGTAACTTGCTCATCCTCTTAAATCTAAGCCCCCTTATCTATAAAATGAGGATCATAAGAGCAGTCTTGTTGAAGGCTTCAGAGTGGATTAGTGAGATAATGAGTGCTGAGTGCCTGGCAAATAGGAAGTGCTGGATAGATGTTCATTTATTTCTTCCTTTCTTCTCTACCCAAGTCACTACTGACATTGCCTCCTTCCTTGCAGGCCATCACGGAGCCATGAGCCAGCAGCACATGATGCCTTCCCAAGCCTTCCAGATACGGCGCTCTCTGCCTCCAGATGACATCCAGGATGACTTTGATTGGGATTCCATTGTGTAGAGCTTGTCTCTGCAAGGCACGGCCCCAGTGTCACCTGTGTGTGCAGTGAAGGGAAAGGTTTAAGAGAATCCAGTTGAGAAAACAAAGTTGCTAATCACTTTACCAATGTTATCAACATTTCTTTTGAAGACAATCAGAAAGATTTTAGCTGAATAACTTACTGCTTTTATCTGACCCAAATAAGTACTACGTTTGTCTCGCTGCCAGCTGCCCTCTGTAGCTCCTAACTGTTGTGTGATTTGGACGGCTTTTGCATATTTGTGTCAGTTTGATGTTGACCACAAGTGCCAGACTGATTTTTCAGACAGAGCCTATTTTGCTGCAAGCAGTTTATAGATACATATGTGTAAATATATGTACAAAAATTACTGAAAGGCTTCGATTTTTTTCTAATTGGATTATACGTCTTGAAAAGAAAGTTACTGTGAGTTTTTATTCCTTATTAGGCTGTTTTCTGCAGAATGCTTTTAAACTGATGTAGGCAACTGAAAGGAAATAGATTTTTTCAAAGCCCAGTTCCCCTTATTTAATCTTTTTCAGAAATGTGGTTATTGAGTTCTACTCAGTAAGTCAAAGAACCCAGAGTTTGATGCCCTCCAAACAGTCCGAAGGGGCATGTTGTTCCTGAGCAGCATAAAGAACTGACCAAATTTGTTTTGATGCTTAGGGGATTATAGAGTTTATGTTGTACCTTGTCAATATGTGTTTTCCTAAATCTGCATTATAACAGTTCTAAGATTTATTTGATCAATTAGAAGCTGGGCATTGCATGGCTCTTTAAACAAATCAATGCCTCCGTATTCACTTATGTATTTATTATTCAAAAGTGTTATTTTAATATTTATTGCCACCTTCTGTGAATGCTCAGCTCTTGTTGGGTTCATTAAGGAGAAATGTGGTGTCTGAAAGCATAGAATTATTTTTCTTGATAAGAGTTTACAGATAAGACAATCAGAGAGAGATTGTGTCATTCTCTTTATCATCACTCCTTTTACCATGTGAGTATGTTTCTCTATCTTAGCATTCTTGTTGATTGAGACTTACTAGCTAAATAGGATTTTTCTGGAATTTGCATCAGAGTTCATTTGGGCAACAGAACAGCAGGACAGTGTTTATAAAGCAAGTTTCCACACTCATTATCTTTCCATTTAGGAGATGCTGAAAGAAGGATGGAGCCACACACAGATTTTATATGCCACAGTCTTTGGTGCAATTATTGTGAAGTAGCCTGCTGTTTCTGTTGTCCTGTGTGTCTGTGTATGCATGACATTTGGTTACTTTCTTTGAAATGCAGCCTGCCTCTTAGGGGTTTTTATTAGTTTTCTGTTCTGTTTCACGTTGTATCACAGTTACTTTGCATGGATTGATTGTCTTAGTTTTATAATAAAACTAAAAGAAATTAGATTTTTTTTAAATGAATAGTGTTTTTTTTTTTTTTTGTGAGAAAGATTAGTCCTGAGCTAACATCCGATGCCAATCCTCCTCTTTTTGCTGAGGAAGACTGGCCCTGGGCTAACATCCATGTCCATCTTCCTCCACTTTACATGGGACACCGCCACAGCATGGCTTGACAAGTGGTGTGTCGGTGTGCGCCCGGGATCCAAACCTGCGAACCTCGGGCCACAGAAGCGGAGTGTGCGCATGTAACTGCTGTGCCACCAGGCCGGCCCTGAATGACTAGATTTTGAATTGGTTCTTTAGACCAAAAAAAAAGCAGAATTTCTTTCAGTTCTTATGGGGAAATGATATGTTCTATCAAATCAAGTGGTAGTAACTGCTAGGGTTTCTTTTTAGCTTCTCGGATCTCTCTCAGCTATGCATAAATCCTTTAATTAGCCTTAGTGATTCTGTGGTTTAGTAACCTCTACTTGAATGAAACAAACATCTTTGTTTCTGTGTGTATGTATGTGAGAGTGTTTGTGAATGTGTGTGGGTGTTACTTTTAATGGAGTGTTGCCTTGAATGAATCACTGGGAAGCCAGCCATGGTAAAGGTTTGTGAGGTTGGGGAGAAAGGAGGGCTTTATGTTCCTGTTGTTTGGACTCTGCTTGGCGTGAAAAAGGAGGCTCAGTTCTAGCCCCTTGGATTGGTGAAAATCAGATGATTCTGGAAAGGCAGCTAACAGACCTCTCTTAGATTGATCAGAGGCAAGATGAAATAGCAGCCTGCAGAGTAAAAGCTTAAAAAGGGGGGTTGGGGGTGATTTTCAATAGTCTGCTCAAGTCACTGTTTTCTAGACACCAAAATAGCTGTTTTGAAACTTTAAATTGCTTGGGTAGCAATGTGCACTTTAAACAATTTGGGTATTAGAATGCAGTCTCTTATATTGAGTGATTAGGGTAGAAATCACTAACGAAGATTTTACAAATTGTGTGAAGCAGTTTTCCCATTTGGCAATCACTTCCTGATTTGCAGTGATCAGTATTTTTATGAGAATTTAAACTTACCAAGAATGGCCATGGAGGATGAGCCTCTACCCAGACCCATCTTGCTCTTGTGATTCTGGTGGCCTGGGAGCCCAGGACAGGCCTTCTCAGTGGGCTCCCGCCAGACAGGGCTACATGGTGATGGCAGAGGATCCCTCTAGTGGCCATTTCAGTTGGTAGTTGTTAATGCAGAGCAAGTTCTGTCGTGGGCTTAAATTGACTGAAGACTTTTGGGGAAAAGAATAATAAATGCATATAATCAAAAGGGGTACTCTGTCCAGGAGAATAATCCGACTGGCATTTGTGGCAGTTTTTGAAATGTAAATGTATTCATGTGTGTTCTTGTAAATACATGTCTCTCAGATGTCCTTTGAAGTGGGAGGGAATCAATCCGGGGATTATTTCAAATGGAATAGAGTATTTTGATATTGTTCATTCAGAGGGTGATATGTACATATCTATATTGTATATATGTGATGAAAATGCATTGGCTTTTTGTGCAAACAATCTGCTCTCTGTACTGCTGTTGGACAGTGTTTTAATGTTTCTACAGTTTTGCTATTGCACGATTTCATATTTTGCCTCTATGATCTCTATGATGAACGGCACCCATTCTTTGTAACTGTTTAGTGCTGTAAAGAAATATTCCCATTGTCATTGGGATTGTTGCTGCCAGAACTGATATGCATGAATGGCACTTAAAATAAATATATTATGTTAACTCTATTTACAACACTGATTAGCCTGTGTCATTTGCTGCAATTGAGGGAACAAGTTTGGAGCTAGTCCAGACCCTGCAGTCAGTCCTTCAGGTCTTAGAGATGGTGTCCCATGTGTTGCTGCCTTAGAACAGTCATTGCTGCCATTTATTAAACATCTCACTAGCTCTGTGGACTTGAGGAAGTTATTTAATTTCTCTGAGCTTCATTTTCCTCATTTATAGTGCTTATAAAGTGAGGATACTACTACTTAACCTCCTAGAGTTGTAGTGGGATTAAAGTAATTAATCCGTTTAGAACATTTAGAACAGTACCTGGAACATAAACAAGGCCTCAGTGTGTGCCAGGTGCTGTGCTAAGTAGATATTGTTATGCTCATCTTACAGTATGGGAACAACTCAGATAGAGGTATAATGGCTTACCCAGATGCTTTGTTGGCAAATGGCAGAGCTGAGGTTTGAATCCAGGTCATTTGACTCCAATGTCATGTTCTTTTACACCATCCTCTCTTACTCCCAAGGGAACTCCCCTATCCCTACCACTACCCTTAACCCCAGTCTTGACCCTAGCACTGCCTTCCCAGAGAGCTGTTTCCAAAAGGTGAAAGTGACACCTTCTTGACATTAGCTGAGCACACACCGTGTCAGCCTTCCCATGAGAAATCCAGAGATAAGAAAGCCACAGTTCCTTGCCTTGAGGAAGGGAAAACTTACTCAGGACAGGTAGCAAATGCTAGCCCAGGGAAACTGCCCAGGGAGGCTACTCGGCAAGATTCTGGTGGTGAGGAGTTAGGTCATGCTGAGGGCTGGGGCAGTGGTTTAGGAAAGCTTCAGGGTGTGCATGGGCTATTTAAAGTTGAATCTTCCAAGGGTCCTAGACAGATGGGAGAAGGTGTTTCCATTTATACCGCTGCTCTGAGCCAGGTGTGGAAGCTAGATTAGCATGGGGGGTGGGGTGGGGACTGAAGCTGGAGAAATGGTGGGTTGCTAGTAAAGAACCAAACACAGCAATCCCCTGAGGTAAGTGGTGGTGTCCCGACTTGATTGATGTGGAAACATGCTCAGAGGCTAAGCCACGGGCAGACCAACACTGGTGGAAATGGACTTGAAGCTGCAGTCTGTCTCGCAAGGAGGGGAGAGCTTCTTACCAATCCCATGATCCTGCCCACGGCCTCCTGCTACTCCTAACTTAACTCATATGATCTATTGATTGCAGTTTTACAGATGGGGAAACAGGCTCAGAAAGGTTAACTTGCCTGAGTTCTCACAGCTAGTAGAGGATCTGGGATAATTCAGTCTGGGTTTGACTCCAAAGCTCATTCCCCTTTACCCCACTGCTTTTCAAAAAGGAATTTGCCCAAAGCCAGGGATAGTGCCCATGCACCCAGTGGGTGTGTGTGTCGCTTGGAGGGAGGAGCTCTGCTTTTCTCCCATCATAGGTAAATTTTGGTCAGCAGCAGTGCCTCTGAAGGACTGTAGTAGGGCACATGGTTAAATCTGATCACTTGGTGCTGATTCAGTCGTAACCGAAGTGCACCTTTGTGCTGATCAAATGAAGAAAGTAAATAAGATCATTAAGATGCATGTGTAATTCTCAAGGCTTTAACATATTACAGTGTGCAAAGGGCTGCTGTTTATAGATGTGCCCTTACCAGTTGGATAAAGCAGTCCTGGAAAAACCATGTAAGCATCAGTTAGCATTTGTAGAAGGGTGGACTGTGTCTAAATGCCGTAAAGTCACAAAACTATCTTGAAAGCTTCAAGCTAGAAGGGGCCTTTGAAATCATCTAATACAACCCCCACATTTTGCTGTTGAGATCATTGAGAGAGGGAAAGTGACTGCTTAAAGTCACACATCTAATTAGGGGAAAATTTGGGGAAGGGGAGGAATGGAGAATGTCATTTACCTGGTAGGAATTTAAAATTCTTACACACATCATCTTATTTGATCTATGCAAGAACCTGATGCTGTAGTACTGTTATTGCCGCATTTTACAGAAGAGGAAACTGCTTCAGAGAGGTCAGGCACAATGTAACTGCATCCTGAATGCATTCGATCAAAGCACTCAAATTCAATTATACACACTTGGCCAGAGAGAGACTGGAAATCTTACCTAATGTGGTAGTTAGTATCCAGCTGTGATGAACACATGCCCCTCAATGAGTGTGAGATGGAAGATTCAAACCTGAGACCGTGACTGATCTTCCACATACCTCTCTGCATGAGCATCTCACCACTGAGTGTGATTCCAGTGGATAAAGATACACATGATCTGTACAACATTGCCCTTGGATGCAAGCTAGCTACTTCAAAGACAGACTATTACCAAGAATTAGAAAAACTGGCCATGTTGGGCGTATTGAGATGGTGTGTTTATCCCCAACATGGTGCCTTCCTAAAGGATTTCCAAGAGTAATTTTGCCCTTACCTCCCCGTGTCTCTCCATCCAGACAATACGTAACTAGTCAGCATGTGTGAAGCAGACTTGGTAAGTGGCTGCACCAGAGCCAGAATTCAACTCCAGGTCAGGCTTGTCTGTAATTCCCAACTCTCCAACAGTGCACCTAGGCAATGCTGACCCCAGAAGTGCAGAATAGGACAGCTGCCATTTGTCACTTGTTACTTAATATTACTTATTACAAGCACTTGATGTAGATCATCATATTTACTCTTCAGATGTGTGGTAGATACTATTATTATCAACCTCATATTGCAAATGAAGAATCTGAGCCAGAAAGAGATTGTCACTTCCTAGGGTCATCTGGCTCGTCAGTGGGAGAGGTAATAATAATCATAGCAGCAGCAGTAGAGCCAGGATTTCAAACCCAGGCCGTCCAGCCCCAGTGTCTGCACCCCACCCCACTGTGCTGTCAGCTCCTCAGCACTCTTCCCTGAGCGACTTGCCAGAGCACAGGGCCCTAGAACAAAGCAGTGAGGCTGCAGTGAGCACTGGAGGCCACCGGGGGGCGGAGGGCTGCCAGCTGTGTGCCTTTTCTCTTTTGGAATGTTTCCTTCATCACTGGGGCTATGCTCCCTTTCTCCGCAGCCCCCAGAGCTGGGTGCTCCTAGACACGTAGGGACCCCAGTGACTAGCCCTCAGAATCTTCCCCTGCATCAGAGCTAGCTGGAGAGAGCCGGAGGAGCCCCTCCAGTTCTTAGCAATAAACACACTGGTGGGGCCCACTGCAGAGCTGCCTCTGAGCCTGCTGCCCCTGCCCGGCCCTCCTGATGCCCGCTGCCCCCCTGCTCCAGGGTTAGGGTGG